TCCGGGCGAGAACGGCGAGAATGCAGAGGGGCTCCCCCAGCAGTGAGGCGCGGCGCGGCGGCGCGGCGGCGGCAGCGCCTCTCCACTCCCATTGTGCCGCGCGCTCCCATCTCGGCGTCTCGACGGGGCGAGGGCGGAAACAGAGAGGCTTCATTACGGAGAGCCGGTTAGAGAGGCAGGTGACTCTCATCGGCACGCGGAATGCACGCGGCCGCGGCCCCATCCACTTAGCCGAACCGCTCTCTGCGCGCCCCGCCGCGCCCCGCCGCCACCGAGGGCCTGGCCGGGCCTGGGCCGACCCCGGCCGACCCGGCAACTCGATTACCCGTGGCATATTCAACATCCGGCCGCTTTAGATCCAGGATCCTCGGCGCCCTCGGCGCCTCTGAGTGAATGTGTGTGTGTGTGGTCTCTGTCTGTCTGTCTGTCTGTCTGTCTCTCTCTCTCTCTCTCGGCGGAGAGCGAGCCGACCTCGCCGGCATGTATAATGTGTATCAGCCCTCCATGGAGCCAGGCGGTCGCATAGACGACATAAAGGTATACAAGTGACATTACTGACATTAGGTTGATACGCACACAGCAACGCAAACACACAAACCCTCTCCCCCTCACCAACACGTGGAGACCACACACACACAAATACACCACGTATGCACCGCAAACAAGCCTCCCCCCACCCCCGCACACACACACGCACCAGCATCACCACCAAAGAGATTGCACCGTGCACCGTTGCAGTAGCAAAAAGCTCGTTTTCATGCGGTCAGATATATTAAGTCGCAAAATGGGGCCGCGCTGGCCCCCAGTGGCCGACTGTGGCCCGTCCCTCGTAAAACGAACAAATTAAAACTTGTATAGTTTTTATTAGTTTTTTAGTAAATTTTGTTAAATTTTAAAAATTGAATTAAATTTGACTAAACTTAAGTACTTTTAATTAATTTTCATTTGCAAAACTAGAATTTGTTAATCTTTGTAAGCTGCATTTATTAAATTTAATTTAAGATTTAATCAAAGCAGCTTACAAAGATTAACAAATTCTAGTTTTGCAAATTAAAATTAATTAAAAATACTTAAGTTTAGTCAAATTTAATTCAATTTTTAAAATTTAACAAAATTTACTAAAAAACTAATAAAAACTATACAAGTTTTAATTTGTTCGTTTTACGAGGGGTGGCTGGAGTATCTATCGGCCCGTTGTGCTGCGGGGCGGGCGGCATTGCCAGGCCAAGTCGCTCTTAGCCAAGTCAAGTGCGAGTGAGGCGGCCAGGTCGTCGTCCCCGTCGGGGCGTTGGCGGTGCGGGGGCGGCCTGGCCTGGCCCGGCTCACCGACGGCACTCGGCCGCTTCACGCTGGAAGGAACAATCTCCGCCTCCCACCGGAACGGCATATTTTAATTGGCAGAAGCGTCGAAAAAGAAAAGGGAAAACATAAGATGAGGCAGCAACGCCAGGCAGAGTTTGCCTACTTTGTTGAACGCGCCCTGTTCACCCGTGATCTCCTACGTCCGAACGGCCAACAACGGCACAGAGATGGCCGCCACACCTGGACCCGTCCGATTAAAAATGAACAGACAACTTAAAGCTGCTCGTGCGAAAGCACACGGAATTTTTCGAACGAGAGGCACAAATTCGTCTCGCCGTTGTCATGCAGGCGGTGCGGCCGATTTAGCGGCTGGAAGGCGAGGCGCTGAGTGGTCTCGGCCTCGAGCGCGCATCGCGCAGCCGAGCGCGGCAAAGCTGCAGACTCTCAAGTTATAACGACGGCGCGGCGGGACGGGGATGTCGTCGAGGATGATCACAAGCACGACGAGGAGGCCGACGGCGAGGACAAAGGCCCGGCGGTACCGATGATCCCCTGCCAGCCCACGGCGGCCACGGCGGCCACGGCGGCCACGGCGGCTGGCATAGAAATGGGGGTCCCGGCCGCACGGCACGGCACGGCACGGCGGCGCCAGTTGGGTGCTCCGCCGCTCCGTCCGTTTCCATGGCAACCGGGCAGAAAAGGAACAGCCTAGCGGGTGCCCCGCCCCGCCCCGCCCCGCCCTGCGCCGCGCGCCCCTCGCCCGGCGAAAAAGGTACACGCTGTCATTGCTTTCATGCACAAGGAAGAGGATTGGCATCAGATCTAATTACCGTCACTCCCCCCGGAAAAGAAGGAGGGGAAGGGGTCAGCGAGGGGGTGGCGTGGGGGCAGCGTGGCCCCCAGCGCGCCGCGGAGCCTCGCGGAGCCCCTGGGCGGCGGGCCCGCCCGGCGCGTTGGGTGCCCGGCGGGTGGCCTACGCCGCGCTTGGCGGGCGCCCTGGCTGCCGGCCCGCCGGCCCCGCCTCCCGACTGCTGGACCGCCGCGCAGTCGCGCACCTCGCAGTGGCGGCGCCGGGCGCGGGACTCTCTCCCTGACCTTCGCGGACGAGGCGGACGAGGCGGGCGGGACTCCATTCGCGCGGAAAGGCGACACGGTCGACACGGTGCTGTGGGCCAATTCCGCCTTCTCTCTCTTAAAGGAATATTGTCGAGTTCCCTCTCCATCTGGAGGGCCCCGCCCCGCCCCGCCCAGGACCAAGCCGGCGCGGCACGGCGCGGCAGCGCGGCGCGGCACGGCGCGGGGCAGATATTAAGGGAACGAGTAAATCATTGGTGAAATACGGCGGAGCGGCGCCGCGGCGCGCCGACCGGGAACATTACCAAATGAAACGGGGCGGGGTGAGGCGGCAGCCACGGCGAGTGGGACCGACTGCCTTTGCGACGACGGCGAGGACGAGCAGGCCGAGGCCGCGGGGGAGGTAGCACGACGCCGGCCTTGAAGGCGCCTGCAAGGTCCTCGACGAGCCGCTAATTGTGGTGACAGCGGCGGCGGGCAGCATCGCCGACCGCGCTCGCCCTCCCTCCGCCGCCTGGCATTACTATGCCAGGAAAGAGACGCCGAGCCAGGCCGAGCCGCAGTGCAGAATGCGGTCAGACTGCCTTGCCATGCGCCGCGCGTCCGCACTTACACTGGGTAAGGAGTGCACAGGGCACACGTCGGTACGCGGAGTACATGGAATACACGGCGTACCGCCGCGGGGGCCGCCGTGCCGTGCCGCGCCGCGCCGAGCCGTCAGACAGCGAGAGGCAGCGCGGGGGCCGTGGCACTACTGGGAAATACACACGTCACATGAGCATGCCGTGTGGCCGTGGCGTGGGCGAGGTCTCCCTCCGGGGTTTAGAAGCAATCTCTGCCAGTTAGGGGAGGGGGTGGGTGCCGCGCCTCATGACCCCAGCCAGGTGCGTCGTGCCGTCGACGGGCAGGTGCACACGGGGCACACGCCGCGCGTACCGGCACACACTCATCATGTCCGTGTTTGAGACGGCCCCACGCAGCAGCCCCAGGGCCAGCCCCAGGGCCAGCCCCGCAGCGCGCACAACAAATGGGTGGGCGGCGCTGACACTGACGGACAGAGCAGCCCGACAAAAGGCGCACGACGGACCGCCGGGCCGGGCCGGGCGGGCAATGGTGCGAGCGCGGTGCGGTCCATCTCCTCGGCGATACCCCGCGCGGCCGCGCCGAGGCCGTCAAGGCCTTCAGGGCCGTCGGGGCGCCGGGGCCGTCAGGGGCGTATCGCAAAGACAGAGCACATCACTCATCGCCACTCTTGGAAATGCAACACTGCCACTGCCAGCGGCACAGCCACGCCACTGCCACGGCACTGCCGGAGAGAGCCTCCTCCATTTGGCCGCGAGCTTCCCCTTCCAGCAAGTGCGCTTTGCTCGCTCTGCTTGCCGCCGTGCCGAGATGCCGGGATACATTGTCTGGCCGGCAACTCCCAAGGCAGCGCAGAAAAGGAAAGGCAAAAGTTGCGCGCAGCGCCGCGCCCCGCAGCTTGGCTGCACCTTGCTTTGCTTTGCTTGGAAACATGAACAGGGAACAGGGCGCGGCGCGTCGCCTTGCCAGGCCAGGCCAAGGAAGACCGGCGGCACCAGCCAGCGGCCGGTCTGAAAGTTTGTAACTCGTCCTGAAATACGACTAACCACTCGGGGGCTCGTAATCCTGGACCAGGCGTGGCGTGGCGCTGAAGTTGAGTTAATTTGCCTCACGTTTTCACGTTTTCACCACGTGCTGCGGGGCCGGGGGCGGGCTGCCGCCGGGGGGCGGATAGGGCAGGGCAGGCACCCTTTTTTCCTTTTTTTAAAAAAGCAGAAAAATGAAAAAATAAAAACTTCATTTTATTTAAAATGTTGACGCACAGCCCCCTCCGGGCGTGAGGCAGGCGGTGCACGGCGTGGCGCGGAAATCCCCCACCTGACAGTGATGCATTACGACGAGTACTTCATGAAGGGGAATCAATCCATCGCCCGGCCCGGGGCCTCAGCCTGGCCTCAGCGCGTCCTCGGCGGCGCGCCGACAACAAACGAGCTAAACGAGCAAACGCGATAACGTCATTCCAAACTCGGCAGTCATTTCACGCGCTCCGCACAACTTCCTTGCGCCGCTCGACTAGCTTTGCCGATTCCGTTCAGGCCTGCCTGCGCCGTTGTGTACGCCGCACGCGCCCCGCGGTGGTAGGCCTGCCGCCTGCCGCCGCCCGCACTCACACCGAGGGACGAGTTTAGGAGGAGCAGGCGCGGCGATGTGGCAAACGTTGCCTACCAACATAGGGAGCGACTTTTGCCTACCTATTCAGCCCCCCTTCCCCCCTATCCACGCGCCTGTCACACACACACACACGCCGAGCTCTCTCTCTCTCTCTCTCTCTCTCTCTCTCTCTCTCTCTCTCTCTCTCTCTCTCTCTCTCTCTCTCTCTCTCTCTCTCTCTCTCTCTCTCTCCTCTCTCTCTCTCTCTCTCTCTCTCACACACACACACACACACACACAGACACACAGACTGACGGGGTGAGGGTGACGCGGCCCCCATTGGCATCATCCCGCCTCGTCACGGCGAGCGCGTTGCGGTGCGCGGTGCGCGCGAGAGGCGAGAGGCGGGACCGCAGCCAGGCGAAGCGCGCGGCCAGGCTGGCCGTACTCACTCCTGGCCTTGCCGGTGACGTAGACCAGGTGCTCGCGGAGCTTCTCGGGGTCCGCCGTGTTCTCGTTGAAGTTGTGGTGCACGGGCGTGGAGTTGAGCGCCTTGTAGACCGCCGCCCCGGTGAAGTAGCACGGCGAGTTGCCCTGCGAGCTTCCGACCTGGAGGAAAAAAGGAAAAGAAAGAGACAGCTTCAATTACTCCATCTCTTTCATCAGGGAAAACAACGTTAATTAAGGTTTAAAACTGCGTGTCGGACTGGAGAAAGCTTGTTCGACTCCCCGTCCCCTCCTTTCTCGACCCTCGGACTTTTTCTCCTCATACAAGGAAAAAAAACGCGGTGACGATGCTTACCTCGTTGTTGTGGAAAAGCAGACCCACCACCTTCCAGCCGAACTCGTGCAGGATGCCCTTCATGGTCTCGCCGACCAGGCCGAACGAGCCCTGCATGCGCGTCAGCACGGGGAAGTTCTCCTTGTAGGCGAAGTTCTCGGCCTGGCCGCCGCCCGTCAGCACCGGGATGTTCCACACGGACGAGTACCGCACCACGGGCGCGATGACGTAGTCGCAGATCGGGCCAAAGAAGGCGTCTGGAACACACACAGGGACACTGTCAGGAGGTCGCATAGCGCGTGCTGCGCGCCCCAGGCCGCTCCAGGCCGCGGAGCGACGCTCTTTTAAGAGGGGAACGCCACCGCGTCTCTCTTTTAAAGCAGCCTGCTGCTTCCTCCACCGAGGGAAACGACACGGCAGGCTGACAAGTGGAGGCCCCGCCCCGCCCCGCCCCGCCCCGCCGCCTGCTGCGCCTCGGCATATGTTTCCCAGGCCCTGGGCGCGGCCCTGGCGCGGCCCGCAGATCATGTAGAGCAGCAGCCAGGCCACCGCAAGCGCGCTCCGCTCCGCACGCTCCGCACCGCGGCGATATTGGACGGGCTGGGCCGGGCTCGGGGAATTCAAATCGCGCCGCACGGCCCAGCGGCCCAGCGGCCCGGCGGGACGCCATCGCTGCCGCTGCAACTTTCTCGCGCCAAGTTCCATATTTTCCCGAGCGAATGTGTCACCCGTCGTGACGTGCGGGGTGGGGCGGGGTGGGGCGGGGCGGGGCGCGGCGCTCGTCGCCACATCGTCACCGAAGTGTGGCCGGACGGGCCGCGCGCCACCTGCGCCCCGCCAATGTGCGCCCCGTGGCACAGTGTGGCGGTGGAGCTGGGATAGGCTGTACTCGCCGGCCTCCGAAAACACCCCCCCCCCCAATCCGAGTGGACGCGAATAGTACACGCCCCTGTGCGCGGACAACAATTCCAGCAGTTTCCAGTGAGGGCACCGCTCCACCGCCGGGCGCAAAAAACGAAATGAGACGGCCGCCTCGTTAATCAGTTACTCGTTCGTTCCCCAGTGGTTCCACAGTAGTTCCCCAGTAGTTCCCCTCCCCACCACGTCGTTACTCACACGACGCGAACAGCGCCAAATTACAAGCAAACCGCGGCCACTCAGCCCGCGTATCGCACGGCGGGCAAGGCCTGGCCTGGCAAGGCCGACGCCGCAACGCGACCTGCACGCCACCGTTTTAAACAAACGACTCGCGGTCGCGCCCCGGACCTGGCTGCACTCGCAAAGAGCGCGGGAAAAATAGTGGCATTCCTAATGGGGAGGAGGACGACACTTACGGTGTGGGGCCGGGGCAGCGGGGCAGCACGGGGGCGTGGGCTGGGCGCCGCCAGGCCGCCTGCCCGCCAGTGCAGTCACGCATTTATTTCAATTAAGGAGCTCCGCACTAATTGGGTGGAAGGGGCGCGGGACAAGCGGGCCGTGCCGGGCCGTGCAATCCCCTCCACTGTCGATTGGCGAGCGAGGCGCCGCCGGCCGCGGCCGCCACTATGTACCACCACCAACGCCTCAAAGCCCACACCGGAGACGCGCTACCAACACGCACTGGAAAGAATCGCACCGCCACTGCAAATCACCCCTCGCACAAACGTGCGCACAGCAGCCTCCAAACAGCACGCCGCACAGTGGGCCAGGGGGCCGGTGGAGGCGGCCAAATTCTAGACGCGTTCTGAGCTCCAGAGACGCTAAATGGGACTCGAAACGAACGTGTGACCCCATCAATGGATTGCTCTCCGAACGAGGAATCCATTGGTGGGGTCTCACGTTCGATTCGAGCCCAATTTAGCGACTCTGGAACTCAAAACGCGTTTGGAATTTCGGCCGTTTCCACTGGTCTTCTGGCCCACTGTGCGGCGCGCTGCTCGCTGAGAGCGATAGCAATACTCGGTCTCATTCCGGGGATGTCAGTTTCGCATCAAGCCCTGCGTGCTGCCGCACGCGTTATTTCTCATTCTCCATCTCTCTCCTTCCCTGGCCCGGGCGTGCGGTGTGCTCATATGCGTCTTATCAGCGCGGCCTGATAACGCACGAGGGAATGAGGTCAGGCGGGGTGTGGTGTCAATGGGGCTGAGCCTCTCCAGGCCGCGCCCGCGCCGCCCGCGCCAGCCCGCCACTGGCCGGGAACGCGTCAACGCGTCGCAGCTGTGGCCGCCGGGGCGGTCTTATTTCACACATACCTCTCTCCTTTCTCTCTCCTTTCTCTCTCTCTCTCTCTCTCTCTCTCTCTCTCTCTCTCTCGCACACGCGCCCCCGCGTTGGCCACGCACCGCGGCCGCCACAGAGTCAAACCGACGGGGGGATCGGCGCGGCCGGGCGCGGCCATGACGCTGCAACTGCCAGCACGGCCGCGCACTAATTTGCCCGCTCACTTATGGCGGGGCGTGACAAAGAGGGGCGGGCCGTATGTGTGTGTGTGTGTGTGTGTGTGTGTTCGAGTGATGAATTAACTGGGCATGCCAGGGCGGGCCGGACAACAGTGTCAACACAAGGGAGCTGATGGGCGGCGCGCGGCGATGTGTGTGTGTGTGTGTGCAATGGTTGTCCCGCCCCTCAGTGTATACGGCGTGCTCATCACGGCCGCGCGGCCCCGCGGCGCGTTTTTCACACCCCCGCCGTGCATAGCGGTGCTGCAACGCCCCAGCGCCCCGTCGGACGGATTCGCCGCCACCACGGTCATGGGCTTGGCGCGGCGGATGCGGCGGGACACTGGTAGAAAGTGGCGCCGACACTGCAGTGCACTGCCGCCAGCAAGGCCGGCCCGGCAGAGAGCTGGCAGAGTCACTGGCGCGCCGTGGCGGTCCAACGGGCCGAGCCAGCCAAACCCTGCGGCCGTGCACGCCTTCCCTCCGCCCGGCCGAGGCATGCCCGGGCCATCCGACACACCGCGACGACCGCGTCCGCCCCAATACTCCCAGTGATCAGAATACGGAAAGGGAAAGAAATGTATGTCCATGTCAATCCGCAAATCGGTAAAGTTGGTGCGGGCACGGCACGGCACGGCACGGCGCGCCCGCCAGACCGCTCTGCATGGGTCCGGGCGGCACGGCACGGCACGGGAGGGTGAGACCCAACTTGGGATACTTCATTTTCCCCTTCAACAATTTCCCGAAACAACGCGCTAAATTTCGGGGCGCGCGGTGCGGCGCCGCGGTACGCGCCGTCAAAAGAAAAAGTTTGGCCGGGCGCGCGCGTGTTGTGTATTGTCTCTCCTTGGACGAGGGCGGTATTTGGAATGGACGGCGCGGGGCGGCTCGGAGCGGGCCGGCGTGACCCACATGCAGAGAGGCCACCTGTGCTCCGCAGCGCCGCGGCGCGGCAGCGCGCGCCGTTTTCCACACGTCTCGCCGATCCTAACCGGTGGCGGTGGTGGCAGCGGTGCACAGTGGGCCAGAAGACCGGTGGAGGCGTCCAAAACTCTAAACGCGTTTTGAGCTCCAGAGTCGCTAAATGGGACTCGAACCGAACGTGTGACCCTACCAATGGATTGCTCTCCTAACGAGGAATCCATTGGTGGAGGTCACACGCTCGGTTCGAGGCCCATTTAGCGACTCTGGAGCTCAAAACGCGTCTAGAGTTTTGGCCGGTTTTGGCCGCCTCCACCGGTCTTCTGGCCCACTGTGCGGTGGCGGTATGCAAAGCGAGACGGACTGCGGCTCGGTTAGTTACCATCCCAGACTGGCCGACTCTCTGAGCTCGCTCGGCCCGCTCGGCTCGCCGGGGAGGCGACGCCCCCAACCCCATCACCCCTCGCCCGGATGGAATTGTTGCCATTTTCGAGATAGGAAAAGCGGCGGCAGGGAGATCATCGCAGAGGAAAACAATCTCGTTTGGTGCTTGTTCTTAGGGAAGGGACGGGCGAACCAGAGACATCAAACTGGGAGCTCACTGTCCACACGGCGTCAAACCCCCCACCCCACTTTTTTCTTTGCTGGCGGCAGATACGAAAGGGAAAGTTTTTCGCGAGACATTTAGAACGTGGTACATGTGCCACTAGTGCCTCACCACACACACAGGTTTCCGGCCATTGATTGAATAGCGTGCCCACGCGGCTTTGGCAGACGCCACAGAGCACAGAAGGAAGGCGGCCCGGTCCAGTGTCGAGTGCTGCAAGACGACACATGCGACGCGACGCCCCTCCGAGGTGATTGCAGAAAGGAGGCGTCGCGGCGAGAGGGGAGGGGCGGGGTGGATCCCGAAATGGAAAAGCCCCGGAGGAAGCAAAAAGGATCAGTGCAGACACAGCAGCAACAATCACTCGTAACCCGAAGCGCAAAGGCCATCTGTGCTGCTGGGTCTTTGCAGCCTTGCAGCCGTGCCACGCGAGGCTCGTCACGAGACAGGGCGGCGCACGGCACGGCGTGGTGCTCGCAATCTGGAAGCGTCCGCGGCGACGGCCTCGGCGACGGCCACGGCGACGGCCTCGGCGACGCCTCGGCGACGGCCTCGGCGACGGCCTCGGCGACGCCTCGGCGACGGCCTCGGCGACGGCCTCGGCGACGGCGACGGCCACGGCGACTCTGCCTGAGGCAGCCTGGACGTCTCCCCTTCGGCCCCTTCGGCGGCGAGAAGACGGCAGCACCGCGACAAGCCGCGCCCCGCCGACTTAAAATATTCATCCAGGAGCGAGGCGGGCGGAGTAAGGGTGTCCAGCAGAGTGGAAAACGCGCCCCAAAAGGAGCTGCTGGCGGCCTGCCACGCCACGCCGCCAAGCGGCGCGAGGGGCGGGGTAGGAAAGCCGCGTGCACTGTCTCTGCCTGGCCCTCGAAATGGCAAAGGTTAAGTCCTGCCAGTCCAACTCGCAGGTGCTGTGTGACACGGAAATCCCGAAGCCCGCTCCCATTCCGGCCGATTCCGGCCCCGCTAGTCCCGCCTTCTCTCCATCCCGACCCTGGCCTTGGTCTTCGGCCCCCCGCGCGGCCAAAAGGCGGTGGGCGGGCTAGTGTAGGTCGGGGTCTGTCTAGTGACACGGAGCCCCATGTTAACGCATGGCTGGCCGTGCATCTCGAGCTGGGCTAGGGGGAAAAGGGAGGGGGGGGGCATCCATTCCGCTCTTTCTTCTCGGCGCCCTCGACCCGTTCGCAGTGTGCCAGTCCCGCAGTGCCGCGCCCGCACGAGAGACTCTCCGGGGGGCTGCCGGCCTGCACAGCCCGCGGCGCCCCGAGGGGGGCGTAATGGAATACTGATTTCTTAGACAGTAATTCCG